AAGCTAAACTTGCTAAGATGTTTATGACTGAGATTTGATTAGCGTGGTACAATGTATTCTTTTAAATTTGAAGGGCTTAGCTGAAATATATCCCATCCTCTCCACCCCCTTAGATTTCTTCATTAGTTGATGCTTCATTCCTATTTCTGCCAAAGAATCTTATTTTTAGCTGAAGATATAAAAAAAAAAAAAAGTGGATCTAAATGAAGAACAGCATAAGCCAATCAGAACTCACCGCTTCAAAATGTAAGTGATTTTAGACCAAGGCGATAAAAAGTAATTAAAAAAAAAAAAAAAAAAAGCTTTCAAATCACATCACCCGTGGCAAACTGGAGATAGTCTACTTGATTCGGTGAGTTTTAAACAATTTTTTTCTGTTTTATAAAAAAAAGTTTAAAGCTGAAAACATTAGTTTATTCATAATCTTGAGTTTTTCACCTCTTATGCACATGTTTAATTGTCTTAAGTACATTATAAATGATATAGACGTTATCTTCACTTATATATAAATAAATTAGAGTCAAATTTAGGAAGAATAATTACAAAGAATTTTATCGCAAAGTTAATCTTGTATTTGATCTTAATAACGACATTGGTTTTCATGATACAATTCCTTATTTCCATGCATGATTGATTTTTTTTCTCTCACAGATGTCTTTTTTGTTTTTTGTTTTTTTTCTCCTAAACATTTAAATTAAAGATATACTATTTGGGATAGCCTTGGCATAACTGCATTGATTAATTGTTGTAGCTATTTATTTATCTAACAAGTCATTCTCAGTCTGCGTGGAAATTTAATACGGCTCATCTTGAGAATGCACTCGCTAAATAAAAACAACGTTGTCGCGGGTTATATTTTATTAGAGAACAGTATTATAGAGGAAATCTTACACTAAAAAAAAAAAAAAAACTTTAACTTTAAATTCAAAGTTAATGTTGTTTATAACTGGTTCAAAACAGTATGTCTAAAAACAGGAATATTTGTTGGACGAGTGGGATACCAAAAATTTAATAATTCAGCAAAACTAGAAATTAGCATCCCTAATAATATGAAAATATGTTTAACAGAAATACCTACAAAAATAAATGATTTGTAAAAAAAGGTGGGGGCGTTTTTTGTTTTTTTTTTCTCTTGCCTCCGCTATTACTGTATACTCACCCTCCCCACCACGCCGGGAATTGATTTATTTAATTGCATTTATGATTTTTTTTCCTCGGGAAAAGCCGTCCTTTTAACAATGCGTTTTTATTTTATTTTATGAATGTTAAACCATCACTTATGTGGTATGCTTGTTTCAGAGAGCAAGAAATATTTAATGACATTTCGTTCTCTTGTAATAGATTTTAGAAAGAAATACACCATAGTGTTTGAAATATTCCACTGAATACTAAAGTTCAGTTTGTCTTTTGTTTCATGCTGTCAAATTAAAGGTTTGTAGAAATTCTTTAACAAGTTGTTATTAATAATCAAGAGTGGTCTTCCCCCCTTTTTTTTTTTTCAATCTCCTCTTTGTGAGAGCTATTTCTGTTTACTGGGACTATAAAAGGATACTATATGCAAACCTTGTAATCTCAACTGAATAAAGCTTTCTTAAAGCCTACACCTGCGTGCTTTTGTCATTACTCCAGTATCATCCAATATGATAAAAGCATGAAACCGCAAATTTCAAGTATTTTTGAGTTTGCTTAACGCAACATGTTAATCTACCCAACGTATAAACCTATGACAAATTATTCAATATGATCTGAAATTATCTAACACGTTATTTCTCATACAGGAAAATGGAGCTAAAGGTACGGACAAAAAAACTATAATCACATTCATCCAGCGTGTCCAGACATGTAAAGTAACAACGTTAAAGCAAAAGCTTTGACGGACACGTTATTCTGTTTAATTCGGAATGTTTATCTATACAATATAATTTTTTTTTTTTTTTAAATGATGCAACCCGAAGATCTCTAGGGGCGAAGAAATACTTCATTATCCTTAATGCATTAACCTTTGTTATATAAAATGTATGTATTGTCACAGACTAAAAAAAAATGCGAAAACACATTTTAAATGCCTTCATTGAACCTAAATTTCGGTTCTGTTTGAAAGAATGGTCTAAAGCCAAACAGAATCAAAAGAAATTAATTTCCGCATATAAATAATTCTTTTAGGCATTTTTAAAGCCTTAATACTTTTTTCCCGTCACTTGTCGACTTGCCATTGTATACGAAAAATCTAAAACAACTTAAATTTCTCTTTAAAATACAATATTTGTCCTAGAGATGTTTTTCGATGTCTATTGTAAATTTACGGATTAATTAATTGGATTTTCTAAAAGTAATGCTTAGTTTTTACTTAGAATTAAAATAATTTACGCACGCTAGCCTGTGACGTTAAAGGACACAGTAGAAAGCCAGCTATTCTACTCCATTCTGTAAAAGCGCGGGAAAAAGTATAAATAAAACCTAAAGTACGGAAGCCCAGCAACATTCTGACGATTCTCTGATTTATGGCAAATATTTTGACATTGGGGTCGCGATTTTTGCTTTCATTACGGAAAAAGTATACATATGATATATGATATATTGCACTTTAGGAGGGCTAAATGAAGTACATTCAATGTGATCTTAGAAATCTTTTGTCATCGCCTTTTGCAATGTCTAATATGATCAAATCGGACATTTCTGTCGAAAATATTTTCCTGTATTTTTTTTTCTCATCTAGTTGAATTGTCATTGAAAGCATTAATAAAACCGGATAAGGATATTTCAATTGCTTGTTCGCGCAAAATCGTCCTGAATATGTTGTCCCCCCCCCCGGCTAATATATATATATATAGCCGTATTTTAAAATTGTTACTTTAGTGAAATTACTGAAGACTGAAGTTCTTCTTACGTACGTGCTAGGTTGAAACATGTGTCGCAACATCTTTTTTTGTCAGGGGATGATTTGCAAAAGTCAGGTTGCAAAGTTATAATTTCCATACAGCTTTTCGCTTCATACTTTGTTCCATTTGTAAGAACGATAATCACTTTCAGGTTCTCTTCGTCGCCATACAAACAGGATTCTAGTTCAGAAAGCACCAGAAAAGAAAAGGTTATAAAAATATTAACAGTTGAAATAATTATTTATTTATAAGGTAACCAAAACAAGTCATTGCTGTTTTTTGATTTATTAGGAAAAATATATACAGCAAATTTGAATAACCGTTAGTCGTCAAAGTAATCATCATCGGCATCCAAAATATTTTGCCAACGTACCCTTCAGCTGCACAATGCCCTGGTGGTAAAAAAAATCAGGCGACTTGGACGCAAAGAAGTGTATGAGTGCCTGCCGCAATCCTGCCTCATTTGTGAAGGATTTTCCCACGAAATTTCAGGGAATGCAACAGGTGGTAATCTGTTGGCGCAAGTTCCGAGGAATAAGGTGGATGGCACAGTGTCTCCCACCCAAATCGCCACGTCACATGACGCCTGTTATTGTCATGGAGGAACAGTACACTCATGCGATTAACAAATGATGGCTCCTTCTACTTCAATGACTGTTGCACATATTCCAAATGTTGGTTTGGCATGTTGTTAGCAACTCATAGTGCAACACTTGTCGACTAGTCCACTAGATGTAATGCATGATCTTGCGCGGGTGTAGAGGTTGTCTTGTAATGTGAGACTCAGGATCCCGTGGTGAAAACCAATGTCTGACACGCTTGAAAGGGTTATACAGAACCCACTTTTCGTTACTGATGGGCACTCGATCAAATATAAGTTTGTTGCAGTGCCGAGAAAGCAACGAGAAAATGACTGTCACTCGTTGTTAGTTTCAGACAGTGAGTGAGGTACCCACTTGCTCAACTTGTACGCCTTCCCTATGCGGTGCAGATGAAATTTGACTGTTTCATCAGAAACATGGCAGAATTTGGCAAGTTCAGTACAGGTTTGGCAGTTGTCCTCCTCATCTAGGACCGGTGGTCGGCCACTGCTGGGTTAATCGCAAAAGGGACAGATCTCCCGACCTGAACTGTTGGAACCAATGCCTGGCGGTGCGTTCACTCACAGCATTATCCCCCAAAAGCTTCAGGTATTCGGCGACTTGGTGCGGCTGCGGATAAGTCCACCTTAAAGTCATAAATCAGATACCCCCCCCCAACGAGCTGCTTCGACACCACCATGTTTCTTCGCTTCTGCTCGAATTATAACCGATATGAGTGTGCCATGCACTTAGTCAAGATTCATTAGCCATGAATTAGTCAAGAGCAAAGTCTCCATCCCATCGCTTTTTCGGCACATAACCTACTCATTTGCGTATCAGTGATCACTTCTATCCACACAATTTAAAAAAAAAAACGTTTAGGATTCTTTTTCCTTTGTTACATTTATAATTTATTTAATATCACACCAGAAATAAATTATTATGGCTCACAGACAGATTTCACCAAGACCTAACAATTCCTTCTGCTTGCAGAGGAAAAGTTGCTTGCATTTAATTATATTAAACTAGGTACTCGTAAATGGTAATCTGAATGTATCCTGCTAAAGACGGAGAAAAATACCTCTGGCAAAAGACATGGCGCAAATTGGTATGAACACTTGCTGTGTCTTAATATAACCTCTAGTGATCCTTAATTATTTTGATTCCTGTCGTCTTGCGACAAATTACTTTAATCTTCGTAGGGTATGCGCCATAGAATGAGAGAAAGTTAAAAATGAAGAATAAAAATTCATCTTAACATTAACTTTTACTTTTATTAACAAAAAGCAAAGATGAAAGAAAAGTAAGAGGAGTATGAATTTGCTAGAAACATCTAACAATAAAAAACGTAAGCGTCAGTCTTATAATACAAGTAACGATTTCCCAGTCGCTTTTATTTTGTTGTCTTTCTTTCCCTTTTAGCCTTTCTTCTTTTTTAATCTCTATAATATTTTCTCTCTATACAACTCCACTTCTTTTTCTTAATTAAATATATCTTCCTCGCTCGGTTTTCACTTTGTTAAATCTCTCCATTTTATAGATCACCTTTCCTTCTCTTTTTGCCCTCTTCTCTGTAATACCTCTATCACGCTTTTTGACATATTTCTCCCTATCATTATTAATAGATCATTCTCCTTTCCCCACTCTCTATTCCCATTTCCTTCCTTCTCGTTCCTCTGCCCTGCTCCTCTTCTCGTTCCTCTGCTCTGCTCCTCTTCTCGTTCCTCTGCCCTGCTCCTCTGCCCTGCTCCTCTTCTCGCTCCTCTGCCCTGCTCCTCTTCTCGTTCCTCTTCTCCTGCTCCTCTGCCCTGCTCCTCTTCTCGTTCCTCTGCCCTGCTCCTCTTCTCGTTCCTCTGCCCTGCTCCTCTTCTCGTTCCTCTGCCCTGCTCCTCTTCTCGTTCCTCTGCCCTGCTCCTATTCTCGTTCCTCTGCCCTGCTCCTCTTCTCGTTCCTCTGCCCTGCTCCTCTTCTCGGTCCTCTTCTCGTTCCTCTTCTCGCTCCTCTGCCCTGTTACTCTTCTCGTTCCTCTCGCTCCTCTGCCCTGCTCCTCCTCTTCGTTCCTCTTCTCTCGTTCCTCTGCTCCTCTCCTCGCTCCTCTGCCCTGTTACTCTTCTCGTTCCTCTTCTCGCTCCTCTGCCCTGTTACTCTTCTCGTTCCTCTTCTCGCTCCTCTGCCCTGCTCCTCTTCTCGTTCCTCTTCTCGCTCCTCTGCCCTGCTCCTCTGCCCTGCTCCTCTTCTCGCTCCTCTTCCCTGCTCCTCTTCTCGCTCCTCTGCCCTGCTCCTCTTCTCGTTCCTCTTCTCGCTCCTCTTCTCGGTCCTCTTCTCGTTCCTCTGCCCTGTTACTCTTCTCGTTCCTTTTCTCGCTCCTCTTCCCTGCTCCTCTTCTCGCTCCTCTTCCCTGCTCCTCTTCTCGTTCCTCTTCTCGCTCCTCTGCCCTGCTCCACTCCCCTGCTCCTCTTCTCGCTCCTCTGCCCTGCTATTTTATATTGGACATTTAGTATGAAAATTTTCGACAATTGTCAATTTTTTTCGCTCTACCAACAAAAATACTTCATTTTAGTCGAGGGGTAAAAATCCAATTAAGAACCTTTTAGAAACAATTTTTATAACGTTATAATTTTTGGCCAATCAGCTTCACTGAAACTATCTTTTGGGATCTTTTTATGCTTATTGATTGAACCAAAAGATCAGTTTGGGTGGAAGTGAACACTGGAAATAAAATCAAAATTGTCCTTGTGGTTTTCATAAATTAGAAGTAGCGAATGTTGAGCTGGCTTTTTAGGAATTTTGACTTTGATTTGGAAGGAATGAATATCACGAAAAATGAAACGACTTTGACTAATCGTAGCGAAACATTATTATACTATAAATTTTGTTACAATATTTACTGTTCGCGGAAATCGCAAAGGAAAATAGTTTTTTTTTTTCTTTTTAAATTCTTGTCGTAAATGTTCATAAATAATCTCTTCTTTATGCCTTATTCTAAAAGGGGGACATTTATAACTCAGTTTATTTAGAGCATATAATAAATAATTACCGTCAGCCAATGGTGCCAGTTCATCGTAAACACACTTTCCATATAGACACCACTAGGAAATAAAACAAAGTAATTACGTTAATTGCATAAAATTATGGCATTGTTATTTGGTCAGTTTATTAATAAAATGATTCACTTTTTTTTAATAAAATATCCATTATGCTTCTGAATATACGCCGGTAAATTATAAGACAGATGTAGGAAACATGGCTTGATGATGAAACATTCGACTTCGGGTGAATGTCTACGTCTAAGTGGAAATATGTACAACTCAAAGAGTACTCAAGAGCTATATTTGGATGGATCTGATATCCTTATATTGACATTGACGACTATATAATGTCTCTTCATGCAGTGTTACTTGGATGATTTCGATAAGTTAATGTTTAAACCACAACAAACTCTATGGTTGTTATCTGATGAAAGATTTCTCAAAGTACTGCTACCGCTTGCCAACAGTAATTGCAGGGGCTTCTAAGAGGTTTATGTATACATGATGTCATGGGTAGGATTTATTAAACAAATAACTAAAAAATGTAATTCACACATGCATATACATTGGTTAAAAAATGACAGTGCAATAAACGGCGAATTTTTTTTTCAGTTTCGCCGCTTCTGATTTATTTATTTTATTTATTTATTTATTTTTTTCAACGAATCTTTCTGGATAAATGTCGGACGAAAAAAAGGTTCCTTTTAAAGAAAATAATACGCTCCGTCATTTTTAAAACAATATATAAATTCTGTGGTATAAGATTTTTGTTCAAATATAGATGCGGCAAAATAGCCATTTTCAAACCGGAAACCTTTAGTATTATTCACTTACCAAACGGTGTTATTGGTTGTTGAAGTACATAAAATCTTATTAAAACAGATTAGATTTCCCAAGCCCAATAAAAGTTATAGATCTTTCTACTTAGACATTTTTTGAAAAAAATACTTTTTAACTACAAACTATATATCTAAAAAGTATGTGTTTACGCTGAAATTATAAAATATGACAGTAGTTGAAGCCATAAAATTGCGTACAAAACATTTAGATTTTGGCATTAAACCATGTCTATTGATACACCACTAAACAAAAACAACCAACACCCAGACAAAGCGAAAAGCCTAAAGAAATCTCTCTTCATACAAGGCTTTTCGTTGATGGAGTAATTCGTGTTTTGAAAATCAAGTATCTACCCGACGAAGCAGAAAAAAAAGAAAGGCTATTTCTCTGTTTGCGGTTTCTAAAGAATTTCGTTTTTTTTTTTTTTTTTGTTTTTTCTCGTCCGCTGCTGTACCCTTTGAAGTTGTCTTATGAATATTCGCCATTGTCAGATATAAGCAAAAGATGTAGTAGTATTCTATTTGTCGCATAGCTGTACTCTTGCCTATCAAATAAAAGGTAGATGTTGCTCTATGCTCATCATTAAGAATCACCATATTCTTCGGTGTACAAGATGCATTTTTAAAATCCCAAAATAGATGTCAAAATCTGCTTGCGTCCTATACACAGGGTAGATATACACAAGCCACGTAAATATATTTAAATAGCACACCTAGTTTTATTAATTTCATTGTATTTTTGTTCAATAAAAATCTTTCACGTAGGATTGTAGCGTTCTAACCCCATAACTTTAACTTCAAAATAAATGTGTATTATACACTAAAAAATGTGGTACCGTTAAAAAAATAAACTTTCATGTACTTTTTCGTTACTTCTACTTAAAGGAAGTAGTTTGGTTGCTTTCTTTAGTCAATGTTCTTAAAGATGAATATCCCTTTTTGAACACCATTAATTAGCATCTTCAAGCTTATCTTACTGATGCAGATCTCATAAAAAATAGTAAAAAATCTTAAAAATTAGAAATACCTCCCGCTTTATTTCAAACTCCACCCCCGTTAATTAAATTTCCGTGACTTAATGTATGTTGTGAAAAATTAATTTTCATTGATCTTGTATATGAATAATATATTCTATTGCTTTAGAAGTCTTGGAGAAAAAAAAAAAAAAAAAAAAAACGCCTTCTTATTTGATACTCTACTGTTTATTCGGGAAGCAATAGTACTTTGATTCGCCTTATGTGTTGAAATAGTAACGCGAAATATTGAACTTGTTCTTTTTGTAATAATAAAAGAATGTGTTGATCATCGAGAAAAAAAAACTAATTTAAAAGTTTAAGATGCATACCTTTTTATTTCCACAAGTTGTTTTGAAGGCAGGCACTATTGGCTGACACATATTATTTGAACTAGCACACCACAGTGCTATGCAAAAGGTAGTGCTATTGGAAAGAAAGTGATCCTGCAACAGAACATAAGCAAGAAAACTGAATGACTGTCTCATTTCATCTCAAGCAAGGCAGTAAAGCCACTAAGACACAAGGAGTTAGTGTGAAGAAAAAGTAAAGAAAACCTTATTAAGGAGCGAGGACTATAGAAGAGTAATCAAGAGGACAGGAGATAACGATTGACATTGCATTTAAATTCTTGAAAAGCAAAATTGGCTGGAAAGCCTGAAACCAATAGAGTTCCACAAGCGAGAGGTGCGAGAAAATAAACTGTTAGCATAGAACTTACGGTCGCATTTAACCAATTCAATTGTAAATTGATGAAAACGTGTTTCCAATCTAGTACTGCGCTGAAATTCATCAAGTCGAGGAACCATAGCGAAAAGATCATCAGAAAAATTACCATTAAAGTATTTATACAAAAGATGGCGTCATCAGAAAAAAAAAACAGAATTTTATTTCACAAAAAAAAAAATCTACATAAGACAAAACGTGATTCACGTTAGGCAACTGAATGCTACATTTTTATTTTATCGTTATAAAAGATAGATTTTAATTATTTCGAATCAGATTTTATTTTTAAACACTTTGTTTTTATATTTAATTGCTTAATTGTATAACACATTGCTTCATTTTTAAATTTAATGAGAGAGGATAAACTAAAATAGTCTGATCGGTTCTTAATCATTGGGCATTCATCGATCACGGCACTTTCAGTGGATTTAACTCTAACAAAAATCCATAGATAGGTCTATTTTGATTTATGTTTTATTTTTACTGAATTAGCTCTGAAACAATGCGGTTACATAAACTATGAAAAATAATAATAATAAATGTTAAAATTATTTAAAATCTAACTTCCATAATATACATACAGTTAGAGTAAAAATCAAGGGTTTCGAACGTCAACAAGGTTCGCCTATCCTTCGGTTCATACTCCTCCGCGGTCTTTTGACCGGGAGTAAAGCTTTATCCATCGTTTTCTGTTTAGTATTGGATTTCCGGTTCTTTCTAAAGTCTTTTCATTCATAGTAGCCCCTTTCTTCTTAATGGTATTATCGCCTTGCTTGGGGTGAATTGATTAAAAAAAAATATATATTAACGTGAATCACGTTTCGTCTCGCTAATGTAGATCTTGTTTCTGCGAAATTCTTTTTTATTGACGCCAAATCATCGGTATAATATTTCAAAGCAAAAGTTATCGAAATTCTTTTATATATACCGTACTTATGTATGTGTGTGTGTGTGTATGTATACTTACTGAACAGACGCCAGAGAAACTTGACCTTACTCGACATTGTTGAGTAGGATTATATAACTGACCAGTAGGTATCTGAGCGAATACTGCTTGCCGACTATCTGTTAAAAGACAGTTTCTGAAATAAGAAAATAAGCAAATATGTCATCGAATTATCAAAAAATCAAATTAGATTTAGAAAACATTTGGATTTCTTTGAAAATCCTAGCCATGACAAGGATCAACAGCATCTACGCGGCCTTGTAGGTGATTACTTTCTACAACTACAAACGAAACGTCACAAACCTATTGTTAATTTATCGCATTCCTTAGTTCCACCAGTTCGGAAGTTTTACAGCTAAAATCAAGCTTAACATTTAGGGTTTTAGTTAATGTCCAGGCAGTTGCTCCATAATTTACAGTGGCTCGAAAAAATCTCTTCTTGAGAGAACCTACACTTGGATGTTGAAAGCTATATTTAACATCTGAAGATAACATCCAACTAAATCATAATTTTATGGATCCATCCCTGATATTTCTACAATCTTACGTGAATGCAAAATGCGCTTTGCAGGACAATGCTGGCGAACAAAACAAGAAATTGTGACTGATCTACTGTACTGGATACTTAGCCATGGTGCAAGACAGATTTTGTGGCCCAGCAACCACCTTCATTGACCAGCTATGTTATGACATAGAATACTACCCTAATGACCTTGATGGTTGGCGTGATAGTCGAGTTAACTCGGACATTCACGAGTCTAAGTAAAAATAATAAACAAATAGCTAAAATTCGTCATACCATGCCATGTACCCAGGGTCAAACCATCATTATATCTTTCATATTCCATTCGGACAGCTTCTCCCCGAGAAACACTCTTTTGTGAAACAATTTTGAGAAGATCCTTCCCTGCTTAATACAATGTTAACATCTTCAAGTGTAGAGTAAACCT